GCAGATTTCTGTGAATCACAACTTTCGAAAACATTAACACAAAATGGAGAAATAATGCAAATGAAACGCTTTTAGAAATAATGACTAAAAGTAATGACTATGTTTTGAAATTTGATGTTTAAAAATCTCGAATTTATTAAATACAACCAAGTATAATTACGTAAATATTTGATACGCATTCATTATATAAATATATAATTAAAATCTTATTACCTAAAATTTATTTATGTTTTATACTATATGGAAACACGCTTTTTTACTATTAATAGATGTGAGTTATACGAAAAAGAATATGAAAATAATTATTTTTTATTTCATTTGCTAAAAATTGTTTTGTGATTTACAGACTCTGTTGATGAATACTATAAATATTACAATTAATTGACCATTATATAAAAATTTTCTTTTTCTGTGAATGCATGTGAATGTGTGTGATAAAATAAATTATTGTTGTTCACCCAATGTTATATGAATATAACACCATGCAAAAGTTACGTATAATATGAATTCATTTATATTATAACTAGCTAGTATGCCCGTTCTTCATACAGGTGAATTGAAAAAATCTAACAATGAGATAAAAGGATAAAAAAAAGTATGAGGTCAAATTTTAAATTATATTTGAATAATTTTAAGCGAACTGTAAAATTATTTAGATGAAAAAGAAGCAACATACCGATATCAACGTGACTGCCTACGTTGAAAATGTCGTTTTTCCGACTTCATAAGGCAATTTTTTTTTATTTCAAAATCTTATAGTTTGAACATTTTTCTTTCCAAAACAGTTTTTCTTTTTCCTTAACGCGAAATAGAAATTAAAGTTATAGTGATTTTAAAAAAGCATCACTCTTTGCAAAAGGGAACCGGAAGTAGCATTTCGAAACCGGAAGTTGCAGAAAATTGCAATTTTTAACTCAAATACTACAGTCTCTCTCATTTTTTTTAATTTATAAAATATATTTCCATAATTTTTCTTGCGTTTCAGCCATTACTTTATTATTAGTGTAGTTATTTCTTGCTAAAAATTAGCAACAAACAGTCTGTTTACATTCTTTGCTTGGACATCAAAGTTATGTCACATTTTTGTAGAATATGTTCAAAGCAGACTAAAGTTCTAGGTGCTGCTTCTAATGCACATTTTTATTGCAATCATAAGGTTCTGTGCCAAGCATGGAGACTGTCGGAGCATATCGCCTATTTGAGTGATCAGAGAATTTTCGTAAATTGCAGTACACTGATTGCTATGGTGATGGGGATTCCAAAGCATATGAATCCGTAAAAAGTTTGTACGCTCCTAATACAGTTAATAAATTAGAATGTATTGGTCACGTGTAGAAAAGGATTGGGAATCATCTCAGAAAGTTAAGAAAGTCAGTGAAAGGATTGGGAGGGAAGAGAAAATTGACGGACAATTTTATCAACAAATTGCAAAATTATTACGGAATAGCAATTCACAGTAATACAAAAAATTTAGCAAGCATGCAAAGCGCAGTTATTGCTGCATTTTATCACTGCTATTCAGTACTGAAAAGCCTATGCATGGTCAATGGCCCAACATGAACAGATAGTTGGTGCAAATTTCAAAAAGCAAAGGCACTTGGTAAAATATTCACCGCCAAAGTCCCTGGACTCCCACAAACTATTATAAATATTGTGAAATCACACTACTTAAAACTATGTGATCAAAAATTTTAAGAAAAGTGTTTACAGGGAATGACTCAGAATGGCTATGAGAGTTTCAATTGTCTTCTGTGGAATTCAGTTCCTAAGCAAAACTTTGTTGAATTCAAAATTTTGCAATTTGGGCATATATAGCAGTTCTACTATTTAATGAAGGTGCTAGTGGCTTATTAAAAGTGATAAATAAGCTGAGGTTAAATGTTGGTAGCTATATGATGCGCGCGTATTAAAATTGTATGACTACTGACGGATAAATGACGCAGAAACAAGTTCATTACCCTTTACAAAATTAAAAAGGAAAAAAACACGAGCTCACCGAAAGAAAAAAGTGTTGCACCAGGGAGAAAAGGAAGGTGTGACATATGATCCTGTTGAATTTTAGATAATTTTGTAAAGTATATACCTTTTTACAGTAACATAAAACTTTAAATGCGTTTTTCTCAAAATTATGTTTTCGAAAGAAACTCCTTACGAGATGCATGATATTTTAAGAACAAAACTAGATAATGCTTTAAAATTTTGTGTGAATGTTTTTTATACTATTTTTTATAAAGTGGACAATAAGTTTTGTTGTAGGTTGAATGGTTTTTCATTTAGTGTAGTTTTTATAAAGAAAAACCTTAAAAAATATCAATATCTTCATATTATGATGTATAATTGCCTGTAATTTTTTTGTATTTTAATATTTTTCTTAGATTTTGGTTCATTTTAAGAAGCACCATAGTATGTATGTTGTGTATAAAGGAAATTAAGATAATTGCATTAGAATTTTTTATACAGTGTTTCCCGTTTTAGTACAAATTTGGTAAAATTTCCATCAAAACAACCAATTTTTCTAAAAGTACAATATTTATTTTTAAATTTTTGTGCATTTATATATTTTTTTCTATTTTTCTTCCTAAAAACACTCAATTTGTTTCAAAAAGTTATTTTTTTAAGAAAATTGGGTCCGAAGGTAGGCAGTCATCTTAATGTAAATAAAAATTAAATCTCTGCTCAACAGGTTTTACAAACTTCAAGCCTGTATGTCTCTATTAATTTTTTATTTATAAAGTCCCCAAATCCCTTCTTGGCAGTTGATTTAAACTAAGGTTGTTCTTCGCGGATTTTTTCACAACAAAAGGAACACGCATAATAAATTTCAGGTTTGTAAGTCTAATAGTTCAAAAAGAGGAATTTTTTTCCATAAGGCTCACGCAAATCCCTTGAGAGTGGAATTTTGCAAAACCAGCTATTAACGGATCTCTATTCTATAAAAGAATAATGCTGGCAAAATTTCAAGTCAGTGAGTCAAACAATTTCTCCTATGCATAATAGATAATTATACTTTCTTTTGATTGAGCCGGCTGAGAGGCGTCGTTGGTTTGTCGCTGGCCTTCTTCACCTAAGGTTGCGGGTTCAACCCCGGCCCAAGTCCGTGGATTTTCATGATGTAGAAAGTCGACAGCGGCCATGTCGTATAATTATTGACATGTAAAAGGTCCCTAGATTGTATGTTTGGCTTGGGTGCTCTCGGCAAAATTAAATCCTAGTACAGGTTCGCATCGTCAGAGCTCAGGTCTCCCTCTAGGGAGAAAACTGGGAGTCAAAATTACCTGTGGTGATTTATATCTGTCTTTGGGGTGCCGCACTAAAAAGAGATATCAGCTTCCGAGAATGTACTAGGTCTGCAATAATAAAACACCACTCCGCTGCCCATTAGAAATTTTTTTTAAAAAAAAACTTTCTTTTTAAGAATACCCCCTCCCCCCCCCCAATAGTTTGGAAAGTAGTATTAATAAATGTATATATACGGAGTATATATAATTTGATAATAATAAAAAGTAATAATTTTATTTATTAATATAAAATAATAACAGCTACTGAATTTTTTTTCTTATTTGCAACCTGGAAGCGTGAAGTATTGGGTTGATGCCTAATTATCCGGGGTTTCTTCAACAAATTTAATTTAACAAAATCTGTAAAAATATTTGACAAAAACATGTTTAAACGATTATTCGGGAGCGTAGTCACCGTCTACTTCAATTACTGCTTCCCATTTGCTTGGCAGGCGGTCAATTCCACAAGCGAAGAAGACACGGTTCTTAGAGGCGTTCCACGCTTTGACATCGGCCACCAAGTCATCCGATCGTCGATCCCGAGCCTGATCATCAAAATCCGATGACCAACCTCTTCCTGGTTTATCCTCCAAGCTGGTATCACCTGATTTGAAAAGGGCAAACCCCTCCCTTCACTGACTTTCGGTGATTGTTCCTTTGCCAAAAAGTTCGCTGAGATCGCGAAACGACTGTGCTGCTTTCTCGAAGTGGTAGAGCATAATATGGCGAATATGACTATGGTTTTTGACACGCATTTTTCTAAAACAATAGAAAAGATTATTTTTACACAAAAATAATAAACAAAACGCTACTTTTCACTGATGAAAAACACGCTGATATAAACGTCGGATAATTATGCATCAACCCAATATTATAACGAGATAAATAGAAAATACAAGCCTTTACAAATAATTTTACTTAAGATACTTTTGAGAAAACGTTGTCCTCCTCTGAAATTCTGGAGTATTCTCAGAAATGGTCTGGTCTTAATAAGATAAAGACATTTCAATTAGTAAGAAGATGGAAAACTAATTATCTTGATGGGATCGACTGACTAGACTTTCATGAATCCTGACATTTACGGGCTTTCGCACGATGGTAAATCAGCTTTTATTCTTATAATAAAACTGTTCTTGGTTAATTCTCAATCAGCGTAAAAAGAATATGTAGACAAAGAAAACGTTTGTATTCTAATTGATATTTATACTATAGCATTCAGAAAAAGAAATTTAAAGCTATGCATATTTTTTTTTCTGAAAAAATAACAGTGGAGTTTTTGAAGTATTGGAATCAGAATTTTAAAGCAGCATTTTAATGAATAATATTTTTTTATATTTGGTGTCATTTAAATTAAATTATACCTATAAGATTTTTGAGAAGATTATTGCAGTAAAAATTATTTACATGCAATTCTTCGGCGAAAAATAAAAGAAAAACAAGCAATATAAAAAATAATAATTCGTCAATTCCTACTTAGGTCAACAAAGAAACATTTTATTTTAGTTAATTCTTTTAATAGTTACAATTAATATAAATATGTACATACATATGACATAACCACAATATTAAGTGACAAAATAGAAAGCGATTTTTCCATTTTCCTTTCTATATAGGGCGTTGGACTATTTTTTGTTTGTTTGTTTTACTATTTATTCATTCATTAAATTTAATTATTCTATAATACAGAAAATTAAAAACAAATCACATTCTCAGAAATTAGGATATATCAGGTGGTATTTGAACCCACGACCTTTGGATCAAAACTCCAGTGCGCTATCCATTGCGCTACAGGTACACAACGAACATTTTTAATTTCTTTTGGACTATTATTTTTGTTAATATTTATTCATTTTTTTTAAATTTAATTAATGAATTAATATTTGAAAAACCTGCATTAACATCAAGTGTCATCCACTACAAATTTTTAAAAAAATGTATTTGAACTTGAATGTGGATGAATATAAAGTATTTTATTAACGATGGAAAATTCGAACAAGTATATAAATAAAAATATATCAAAAGAAAGAGGGAGAGTATGAACTATATAATAGTGCTAATTGAATGACTTATATTCACAACATTCAGCTTTCGTGAAAAATGCTTCTGAGTATATATATGTACAATTTTAGCTATGGCTTTTGTACAGATCCTGAATATGGATTTTTGAAACTTTAGCGTTGTTCTCAGAATTACTTTCTACTGAAACAATAATAGTTGTTTTTTCTTCAAATTTCTCTTCTCTTGTGTTTTAAAATATGACTAAATCAATTTCTGAATTACATCATTCAAAAATCCTAGTTCGGGTTCTGGTACATGCCTTAGCAATATACAGGGTAAATAATATTATCGAAGCCTTTTTCATAAAAGAAGAATATTTTGAAAATAATCTCTCTTCCTTCATTTTTTTTTTTTTTTTTTTTGCCAAAAGCGTTTAAATAATTTTTTATTCTCATCATATTCTTAAGACAATTTTATACATATATTCTAATACAAGTGACATATGAAATATAAAAAAAATATTCATTTATACGCTGTTTTAAAATCACGGTTCCAAAAGTAGTCGAATACCTTAAGTATATAACATAAATTTTTTTTAAAAATTAGAATGCGATGATAAATGGCTACTTCGAAATTTTATATGCAATAAGAAAAAGGAAAAAAAATTTTTAGACGCAGTTTTTCAAATATGTGCAATTAAGTTATGTGCAATTAAGTTATATTTAAATGTGTTTAGATGGTTACATGTGTTCAATCATAGATTTTTTTAAATATTTTTTCAAGTACTGCTAAGATATCAGGTATGCATTGAATATCCTAAACATTTTTATAATGACTGAAGAAATGAGTGACATTATTATACCTCCTTTCTCCAGATACTCTCTCTTTTCGCGTGAATCGTTTGTACATTTTTATGGTTGTTTGCTTAGAAATTTCAGGAAAACAGTTTTCAACTTCTGTAATGTGTTAGAGACATATTTAAAACTAAAATATTTTATTATATTCAACTCTAAATTAATTAGGGTCACAACTAGCTAATGAGAGCACGAGTTACCTCAAATTAATAATAATAATAATAATAAAAATTATTTAACATGCACTTATGAAGAAACACAGACGCACACTTTATCCAATCTGGGTGACCGAGTGAATATTAACGTCGCACTGTTCAGCTACACGAGGGCTTTTGGAGACGGACCTCGTAGTTTTGAGCCATGGTCAAGTGCCGAAGACGACATCTGAGCTGGCAACCCCTCTCCAAACTACCACACCACACAAACGGGAGGACTTTTGAGCTCTCGACAGATTTAACGTGCATCGCTCCCCTACACGGTTATCCGCTCTGGACACTGATCACAAGGCTCCTAGTCCTAAACCAAGATGTAGCTACGGTAGCCTAATGGTCAAGGTGACGGACTCATGGCTGGCGTGTCATGAGTTCGGGCCCAGTACCACTGAAGATCCGCCGTGTAGGGGCGCGATGCACGTTAAAATCTGTCGAGAGCTCATACGACTCCCGTTGGTGCGGTAGTTAGGAGAGGGGTTACAAGCTCAGATGTCGTCGCTACACTTCTTTCGCTAAAGAAATTTATTTTGATTTCAAAAAATACACATTAACTATAGTTTCTGTTTTTTGCATTTCCCTAAAATACTATTTCATTCTCTTCTTTATTGCACTGACTCTCAAAACATTTAAATAATATAAATTCTGTAAAAATTATACAATTCCATTTTTTACTGAATTCTAAGGAATTGTCCAATTCCATCGAAATAGTTCACACTCAGTTTTAGCACTTGTCGACTACCAACGTTGCTTACTGAACTTCCCCAACTCATTTTAATCTACCAAGTAATTCTCAATTCAAAAACACATCCTGTCTACCCATGCCCATTCGACGTCCACCTCTGTGATCTACAGGGTCCTAGTCATCCCTCTAATCACAGGTTGTCCCCTTTTAAAAAGGGGGAGGACCACTCGCTCGCATGTCAGGAGGTTTCGCTTACATCTGGTGATGACCCAAATTACCCAATCATGCAAAGGTTACCGGTGCCACCAATACTTTTGATCCTAGAAAAGGGCAATTGCGTCCCTCCCTGCGCGTTTTGCATAGGGGGTCGGCCTTTGTTCTGAGCAGGGGTTGCCTCGTGGCAGGATGCTATTACTGCCAAACGGCAGCTCAGAGGGGTTGCGTGAAATTTAGGAGTATAATCTCGTAAGGGGAGTTGAAATTCGAATGCACGGTAGAGTTTCGCCATGGTGGTAGTTAATGAAGTATGAAGTTTTCATCCTTTTTTTTTCAAAAGTTTTGTGCTGTAATTAGAGTGTTGCCCTTTTTTTAGGAATAATTTAGTTTAGTATGGGGAGGAGGATTGGTTTTTATTAGGTCTAGATGGGAATCTTTTTTTTTCTTTCGTATGGGGAAACTTTAACCTTTAGTATTTGCTTTTGGGCAATGCTTTCCAATTTTTTTTTTTTAATTTGTTGTTCTAATGTTCACTTATATACAAATTTTAACTATTCTGGTTAGATATGAATAATTTTCTTCCAAATTATTTTAGTGCAATATTTTTACAACTCAGAACATTTTATTAGATGTGAGTATTCATTCTAGTGGTAGAAAAAAATAGAACATACAAAAAAAAAAAAACAGATCCATTCCCGTAATGAGATTTTAGATTCTCTTGTTCTTATTTACAGAAAAGGTACAGTTTCCTGAAATTTAGATCAAGAAAGAATTATTTTCTGCTATAGAAAGGATTTTGCTTCAGAAAAATTTATTTTTGTGTATGAAAATATAATCAGCATAGTGAACATTTCATCAAAAAACCAGAAATTTTCTTTTCAAAAAACAAAACAAAAAGTATTCACAGATAAAATAGCCCAATAACCGCGTGTTCAAGAAAATTTTTTTAAGTACCTATATCATAAAAATTTCATTAAGGAATATTAACGCCTTAAGCGATCAATTTTTTGCCCAAAAGGTTCGAAAAAACGGGTACACATTTTACTACAAATAACTAAGCATAATACTTAACAGAATGTGAAAATGGAAGAATATTATTTTTAAGTTTTCACGCCATTTTTTATTTTATAATTGTGGAACACAAAAACCCATAAAAGTTTACTCTTCATAGGTTCACTCTGAAAGCTATGAAGAATGTTTCAAAAATCTTAAAAGAATTTCTCTGATACTTACAAAATAAATTTCATGTTCCCACTTCTTTCTCAAATGGTTGAGGATTTTGTGCGTGTGTGCATGTATATGTATATGCACACACAATTTAAAGCATGGTGCAATAATAATTCGTACATAGCAACGGGGACAGACATAATATCATCTTTTTTGGATTATCTTTCTATTTTCATTTCTTCTCAACCAACAAATTGCACATTGCCTTGCCTATCCCTGTACTTTATCGAATATTTTCAAAAATCTAAATTCCAATCTTTAATGAAAAATCAGCGCCTTCACCACAAAGAAAATCCCGGTTAAAGTGAGTGAATATTAACGTCGTTGTTTTTTCACTGGTTTACCAACTCATATTTTTCACTAAAAATATTTCACTCCACAAATTAAATGGCAGGGACTTCTGAGTTCAAGACTTTTATTCGAGCGTTCTCCATACCATAACGTCGTGGAACTTGGTAGCGTGTTGTGACGCGACGTTAATCATTAAAAAAAACTTTTATTGTGATCTAAAATTGATTTATTCACTTTTTACTATTAAAAGATCACTAAGAAGAGAAAAAGAATTTAGTTACAAGTGTTAGATCCATTTAGCCAGTTCTATTTAGTATTGGTGCTAGTTCTAATTTAGGCAGTCTTTCTGATTGGTGTCCACTCCCCGCTTCTTCTTTAGTCGCCCGTTGGATACCGCCTCAGGAGTCCATCTCGCTAGTCCATCGGGTTCTGCTCGGGAGTATATCGTGAGAGTTGATCGGGAGGCCCTCGACTCGCGCCTTCTTCCTAGATCCGTCGATTACGTCTCGCAGGTCGATCGTCGGAGTTGATCGGGAGCCATCGCACTTCTTCCTTCGTAAGCAGGATTCTGTTTCGGGAATCTGTCGTTAGAGTCTATCCGGAGTCTTATTTTTTCTTGGGTCCACTCTTTTAAACTCTAGGGGCGGGTCCACTCCACGCGCTTCATCAACCCCCATTGGCCGGCCTCAAGGTTTTGCACCCGGTGCCACGGTCTTGCACGTTCTACATTCGTGCAGAGATAACAAAAGTTCCGGTCCCTCTCAAAGGTCCCCAGCGACAAGGGCTTGGCTGACATCTGGCACTTCAAACATCTCGCCGCCTTCTGCGGAGGCGCCAGCCTTTCAAGACGGACAATCACTGCCTATGAATGTAAAATAATGCAGTGATGCCCAGCCCATAGTGTTTGACAGTCCCACCGTCGCCAACAGTTCAGCTGTCCGGCACAGCACAATGCAGCCAAAGCCACGTGGTCCCCAGCTGTGGAGCACTTAAAGAATTGGGGCGATTCCTCCATTGTGACGACGCCCCAATACGCTCTTTCTCACACGAAGGTTACACGTACACTGAACTCTACACACACTAGCACCCTCTCGCGACAAATATTCACTTGTTATTGTGGGCATCACAAGAACTATTTGTTCAACACTGAGCAGTTGTCCTATACAGCTAGTTGAGGGTTTTTGGTGACGCACCTCGTAATTTTGAACCCTGGTCAAGTGACGAGGACGATGCCTGCTTTGGCATTCCCTCTTCTACCTTTCGCCCCACACCAATTGGAGGACGTTTGAGCATCGACAGATTAATGAGCATCCCC